ATTTCGATTTATACTTAGACAAGACCTTACTTTGTTGAATTTTTTATTGGACTTTTTGTACTAAATAGAGTCGCTCATTGTTTCGTTTTATGATTTCATAGTTTAAAAATACTGTAAACTAACATATTTCATCCAAATGCACATACATTTTAAATAAAGTTTTAATTTTGACAAGATTAGATAAAAACAATTATTTTAATCATTCATAAATGCAAGTTCTATATCTCAAGTTCTATGACTTTTTGTAATATAAATTCTATACTTCTTCATTTAATTATATAAAATATTACTCATGACACTGTTAGAATTTTGTCTTTTGCATAATAATGTAAAATTTTATTCATGCACTTATATACGCGCATAATATTTCAATGTAAAGCGAATTGCTTTAATTTGATTAGCTTTATAGTGTTCCAAGAAACTCTTGTATACGTTCATAATATTCATTATTACAGTGCCTTCTAGAGTCGTGTATGCTTTTATCTTCCTGTAAAATACACAGTAAAAGATCATGATTCAATTAAAATGTATGCACATGTAACGCTTATTAGACGCTTGAAAAGTGATGCAATTAGTTATATATATACGTAAAATTATAATTTTTATGATTTTATTATTTATATTTTAATACGCCCATTGACGGGTATTGAATTACTACATAGAGTCAGGTATCCACGCCGCCTAGAGTCTGAGACTGTCAAGAAAATCTATACACAGACCCTCGCTTATACGCGTATGATAACCAACGTAACTGACACCATCTTAGTGGTAGATGCTAAAAGCTCGAGATATTGTAGAAGGACAGACGACACCGGCGACGTAAAGGCTAATTGCTCAAAGGCATGAAAGTTACTGTACGTGATAAAACATATTTAAAAAAAAAGTTAGTTTGAAAATACTTGCCGCTCTTATAACTTCGATTTTCATCAAAGTTGCGCGATGGCTCAATCATTTCATAGCTATATTTTCAAATTTAATCATTGGTGGAAGGCTATTGTATATATTAATATTTTATTAATTATTAAGAAAATTACTTTTTACATGATGTAGTTTCAAACTATATCCCATAATATCATCGAATAGAATGCGGGTAATTATTCTAAAACTTTATACGTGTAAAAATCAAATTTTACATGAAAACTTGGATAAGCTAGTTCAGATATTCTCCGATTGAACCTAAGTCACGGTAGTATTCTTGATAATTTAACTCATTGTGGCTTTTCTGAGCTCGCTTTTCAGCAATAAAACGCTGAAACACACAAATGCACGCGACTTTGCTTTTGTCTCGCACGTACATATACCTTGGCTTTAATGCAGTTGTAGAACTACAATCTAGTGCCACAAGTACATTTCCGTTCAAATCAACATACGCATTTAAATGGAAACTGTTTCTGTTTCTACACTTTGTTATTTAAACGACGTACATACGTGTATTTTATTCGAGTTCTCGATTCGCGTTGATATGGTCGATGCACAAAGTAATCTTGTAACATTTAAAACTTGCAAGATTGAAAATTAGTGGGTTATTTATGTCAGTTAAAATTATAAAAAATATTTCATTATGACGTGTTAACAACAAGTTATTAAATTACAGAGAAATTTCAATTGATACCCTGATATGATTTAAAACTTATGAGTATATGTATAAGCCAAACATGTGTATAAATATGGTACTCCATTGTAATCATAATTCGATCAATTTGATGCATAATAATGGGGTCAATATACTATGCGAGATAAGCATGATTGCACGTAATTCTCAAGGGAGCCATACTTCGTCAATAGAACAATAACATGTTTGTCATATTTACCAAATCGCAAGAGAATTCATGTAACATAAATCATTAGTAATAAATCATCTTGAATATCTTTTTTCGGGTGAGAAAATTCTATAACATTTGAAATGTTTGAAGAAGTTTCTAAAAATTTTACGAAATTGATAAACCCAAAAAATGCATAATTTAATTTCAATTAGTACGTTAGCAGCAAAGTCAGAAGGTCTTAAAAACGCAAAATTGAGCTTCCCTTTCTTCCCTTGCGAACTGTAAATATTTGATAAATTTTTGGCTCGATATAATGGACTCGGAGTAGAAGGTGTATGTAGCTCCGATGCATCGTAGCCATGACGACGACAAACGCACTCGAGTGCGGAATACGAATATGCTCAGGGCAGGCGTGTGTTTGTGTATGTGTGTGTACACGAGCTTCAGTTCGAGCGAGGCGTTACGCTTGTACTTTAATCGTCAGACTACGGGATAGGTTATGAACCACTAGCACTATTGGCGTTCATCTGCTTGTGCAACGATATTTAGTTATGCTGTTGAGCGACCGCAAATCAAGCTTTTGGATCGGCATCATTTCAATGCTTTCGATGCTCACCGGGGGCTAGAGTCAGTAATTCAATTTATCCTGAACAGGTATGAAAGTCAAATGTTTGTTTACATTGTTGATAACTCCTTGGTTATCACTTATGAATGCGCGTCTAACAACCATCGAAACAATATGCAACGCAGCAATTAAAGTACTCGGCTCCGTACTTGTGATTCTCGCCAAGTAAATAGATTTCAGGATCCAAAGTAGTTAATCAATTTTGATAAAGGAACAAAAGTATCCTTCGAGTTGACCCACGTAAATAGAGGGCCTCGATAATAGTAGTAAAACAAAAATCAAATCACCCACTCAACTACATAATCGTCCTTTACGAGGCTCTTGGCCATCACTACGACGACATAACTCCTCGAAACGGTACACGTATTTACGTGCTCAAGATCATTAATCGCCACCTTTGAACAGTGCGGATTTATGCGCGTGTATGTGTGCGGCTGTATGTATGTATACGCTGGAGCCCTTAAAGCACCTTTACTGGTCGCCCGCCCAACCCATACCGCTATGACAAAGCTTCGCGCGACTCTATACCTATATACGTGCGCTATAGACGGAGAAAGAGAAGGAAAAAGGAGGTCGTGCAGCACCATGAGTCCATTAACTTGCGCTTCCTCTGCGTTATGCTTCTTCTGGCGCTACTATTTCATTTTCGCACTCTATATATATGCTCTTTTATAAATACACCCTTTCATACCTGTGAGAGGCGTCGATTTTTCGAGTTATATACTCAGAATTCATTTTCTCCTTTTTTTTAGACTCTGAACTTCCAGAGCTCAACAAAGTATATAGATTAAACGTCTGCGTAAAGCATTGCACGACACTTTAATTTGAAAATTCAAAACTCACACTGGAATAGAATGTAGCGAGCTCTATTAGAACCAAGTCTACGACAAATTACTGGGAAATTCTAGGAGTATTTCTACTCTAAGCAGTAACTAAAATTACGATTTTTGCAAGAATTTTACAAATTGCGAATTCCCGTGTAGTTTAAAAAGTATTTTTTGCTTTTATCACTTCAAGTTTTTTTTGACATTTACTCATAGCAATGTCGATTAGCTACCTGTGCCAGGCGCCGCCTTTTTATCCAATGAAACATAAATGAGTTCCTCCGAGGTCTTTTTTTCCCGATGGAACCCTTATAGCCATTCAACGTCAACATAGTGCCTCGTGATTTTTTTACCAGTCAAAAGGAGCTATAGCGAGTCACGAACTACCACAGAGTTTTCCTTTTAGCTTTTCACCTCGCAAAGGAGAAAACGTACTCTCTTGATGGCTGCAAATCAAAGGAGCTTATTCGTTAGATAGGCAAAATGGGATGCTCCAGCATTTGAGCAAACTCGCGCGAGATATTTCGCATAAAAATACACAGTCGGATATATACGTATATATTATTATATGTATATAACAAAGGACTTCTGGCTGCCTTTCATTGCCGCATGAACAAGCGCACTTCCCCTTATTGCCTTGTATCTTGGAGTTAAGATGGGGAAAAATAGAAAGATCAGAGAGAAAGAGAGAGAGAGAGAGAGACTTGTAGTTTTAAGCTTTTAAGTATTTCAACTTAAGCAAGAGAAGAGCAGGAATACGTAGCTGCGTTCGCTGTTGCCGTTGAGTCATTTACTTATACATAACGATTTATGGATTAAAACAAAAGAGAATAATTTTATATAATGGCCAATTTCACATTTTTTACTAGCAAGCATGATTTCATTCACACTGATCGGACTGTATCGCTGAAATGGAATACCAAGTTTTAAAACATTCTAACATTATTAAATTATTATAAAATAACTGAATTTAAAAATAATTATCACCTTTGTTAGAAGTTGTGTAATCCAAGGAAACTTCCCACTAGTTTCGTGCTCGGAAAAATAATCATAATTCTGCCAAGATTCCACGTTTTCGCCAAAGTTTGAAAAAAATTGCATAAAATGTGCATCATTGGCAAAGGGTAGCTTTCGCGTACGCGATCGATGCTGAATAGACAGGCTCAAAAACAATATAAAAAGTTAATTTTTCAATATAGTTTTACGTTTAAAGAAATAATAATTTTTCTAAAATCCACATTTTTTTACCCCATTCTATCAAACTGCTCAAGCCGTTTATTAGAATATCGATGAAACGAAAAGTTTCAAAAGCTTTGAAGGAGAAGTCGGTATGATTTGGTTTTTTTCAGCATAATAAGTTTTATTATAATTGCACATACAACATATGAAATAATTCATGAACAATAAATTTAAAAAAATGCGAATTAGATAAGTATATTAAAAATACGAAGAATCGTATAATCCTACATAACTTACAAACGAGCTTATGCATTATAGTTTTTAGAGTTAATCAGGGATTCACCTAGTTAAATTTTTATTTATGAATTTTCAAATACAAATAATGTATTTCAATTAAATATTTATCTGGTAGGATTAAAAATTGGCAAAAATAAATTATAACTACCTAATTTAGTTTGGCAAGCAGAAAAATAAATTAGTTTCACTGCAGTACTAGTATGATTACAGAAGCTCATCATTATTCCTTTGAATTATCTTTTGAACATTTATTGAGATGAGTTTTTCATGCATCTTCATAAAACTACATACTTTTGTTTTATGTTGTTCTAGTTACTCACCAAAAACATGGCCAACGCGAGGTGTTGCGTGTCGTATGGACGTCGTCGAAGTAATGGATGTGGCTCAAGTGCAAAACCGCCGAGCAAGCCTGCAACTTACATCTCGCTATTCGGACTGGACAAAGCTTCGGAAATAGCGGAGAGAGTCACCACGTCTGAGCGTGAACTTGCACAGTTTATGGCCTTTGAACAGGTTAACCGACTCAGGGAAAAAAAAGTCATCGCACGAAATATTAAGGAGCGAGTGAAATTGGGTAAATTACTCAAGTATTCATGAAATTGGATAGTTAATGCACGTGTAAACGCTCGAACATGCACTGTCATTTTATTAAAGAAAACAAAACGCGGCTTTTTGTTTTATATTAATTTTCCTCGTACGCAGAAAATACGCGTATTTTTGAATTCTATATTATAAACCTCTTTTATACTACCATTGTTATGGGTTATAAGATAAAAAGCTGTGCTAATAAACAGTAGAGAGTTTTATCTTCCTACAAGCTTAGTTCCTGTTTTATTTCATTGAAAGTAGAGAAAATTTCAACAATGTGACTTTTCAGTCATTCGTCAAGTAGTTTGTTTCACGTTTTTGATCATAGGTTTACGTAGCATTAGAATTTTCAGTAAAAATTAATTGACCCAACGTGAAATTCAAGCACGCTTTCAATTTTTCGTTTATTCAACGTTTTTCATAAATTTTTTTTTTCAATTTCTATGTTTAAAATACTTGACCTGCATTTCCTAGTTACCACAGATAAATACTTGCTCGATTTTTTAAGAGAAAATCTGAAACCCAAACAGAGTTAATATTTTTATCACTCTACTTACGCGGAACGGTCAGAAACAGTATATACACTCTAATGATTATATCAAAAGCTCAAACTTTGTTTGCTGAGTTATCTCTACAGATATATACTGCGAATTTGTCGACATAAACGGAGTATGAGTTATCTGCCTCAGCTTAGGCTGTGTCAGTATAATACACGTAAAGGGAAATAAACATCTCCACTCTCTTCGGCTCAACAATCGGATAACTGCCTCTGCCAATTTTCCAACAATAAACGGGTAACGTTGAAATCCACCGAATTCACACAGGATATGCTGTGTATACAAATTATTAACTTCAGGACCTAAATGTCGTAAACAGCAAATCACTTACTTAGCTGGAAAAGGTTAAAAAAAATTTGAATGCATTTCCAACATTCGCAAGGTTTATTATTAACCTTGTCAATTATTTTCATTCAAAACTCAAAATTAGTCCCATTGTGTGAACTAAAGACATGCTTGGCTGATGAATTTTTACAACCATTTTATGAAGTATGTTTTCTCTGGCGTATTCAAAAGCAGTTGTGCATGTTAATAGTAAATATAAAGTAAAGCTTGGCAGTGCATTGCACTTATGAGTTTTGCATCGTCCTTCTAATAACAACAATAATATGCAATGGTATTCATTAAAGCTTTGTAAGGATAGAAGTAGGCAGGGTGCAAAATTACTCGTAACAACAAGAGGATACTTAGCACTTTGAATTTAATTTGCTCTGTGTGTTACATGAACCTATTATGCTGTGAATAAACATAACATGTATCGCTTGTAAATGACAGTAATGATATGGAATAGCATCCACTTTTCAAAAGTCTGTTAAAATTATGTAAATGGGTCAAACGGATTTTTTTATCTAAGATTTTGTTTCGCTTAAATAATGGTATTTTAACTGTTGAACAGCAAATAATTAAAAAATAAACACACGCAAAAACGAACAAATCTATAATGGTAAAAGCAGATATAAGGATAGAAAATAAATTCATAAATTAAATATATTTTTCAATATTCATTTTTTTTTTTTAATGATTATGAGTCAAATGTTAAATGTAATTTTTAAAAAAATATATTATTTCCATGGACAAAATGCTATCTATTTCAAATTCAACCCATAGCTTCAATAAAAACTTTTTATATAAAGGTTTGGAAGCTTACGAGGAAGATATCGAGGAACGTCGAGATCGCTTGCGCGAACTATTACTCCGGGAAGAAGCAGAACAGACGCGAGAATTAGTCGATCTATTTCGCCTGAAAGAGAAGCAACGAATCGCCGAGTTGGCTGAAAAAGCAGCCGCAGAAGAGCGAGAACGCGAGCAAGCTCGACAGACATTACTGAAAGAGAAAAAACTTCAACGATACGTCGAGAGCAGTCAAGAAGTGCGAAAAGGTCGTAGTCAGGCTTGGTTGGAAGATGCCAAACGTATCAATCTTGTGCAAATTGACGAGGCTGCAAAAATACGAAGGTCAGTTATAATTCCGCGCGATAACCATAATAATAATAATCTCCGGATTAGCTGCCAAGAATAACTTTCGCTATTAAGTTCTTTTTACGATAAAAAGTTTTTTATTGCGACTGTTAAGTAACATTTCAAATTAACTTTCGTTTGAACTGTTGTGAGACTTTTTGATATTGATATATTAATTTTTAACACGAACGTAGTGGAGTTTGTAATTTGCGTCATAAACCGTATCTTACAGTAAACTGTAAAGTACAACCTGAGCACAGCTTCAAGTTTTGTACTGGCTTATTATGTGCACGGCTGTAAAAGTAATAGGGCTCTCGAGGCTCAAACAATTGAAGAATGTTTTATCACGTAAAACCTCTCAGAACTTAATATTAAAACTTTTGCTGTATATTCATATACGCACACAATCAAAGAAACGGAAAATATTTTTACAAAATCGGTCATACCTACCAATGTTTTTTCAATCGGTTCGAACAATTGGTCCGCAAAAGTTGTCTTTTTAAAATTCATCTACTCGATCATTTCTTGAACTCGAAATACCATTTTATTTTTAAAAGAATTTTAACAAGCAAAGTTTTGTAATAGGATAGAACAAATCTCAATCGTTCAGGGGAAATTTCCAAGTAACGATGCACTTCTCGCGATTCAAGTTTTTCTTTGAAAAAATATTAAATTCACGTACTTATGCATTTGAAAAATTGGCACGTGAGCTTTCAGAAATGACGCATCCAATTTTCGGTATCCCGTAAGATAAAATATAAATTTAACGCGTAACTTGTTTGATTCCAGACTCAAACGAAACGAAGATCAGTATTGGCATACACTGGAAGAAAGTCTCAGAACAGTAGCGCTCGAGCGAGAAGCAAAAAACACTGCAAAAAAGCAAGAATATACCCGTCAAGTAACCGAAGAACTAAAGCGCCAAATGGAGCAAGCACGGAAAATGAAATCTCTTAAAAGTGGACTTCTTGCCTCGGAAGAAACACCGCCGTTTTATCAAAGACAGGGAGACAAGAGCGCGGAGGAATTAAAAAATCGCGAACAGAAGCTAAAGATGCGCGAGGATCTGGACAAACAATTGGCCGAAGCGAAGCGTAAGCTAGAGGCTCAAATTCAGCAAGAGGAGGTGCTCGAACGTTACGAAGCTAGCTTCGGTGTAATCAAACCAAGCGTCGATAAAGAGACTCGACGTCGAGAGATGCTGGCTTACATGCAAGATTTACAGGTAAAATGAAAGATTTTTGAATTTTTAAAATAACAATATTTTTTTCGGAAAACATTGTAAATTTGCAATATGCAATTTTCGTCCGAATGCACTGTATTGAATGTGTTTTTTTTCCTCGCTTTTTACAAATTCACCTTTAAATAGAAAAGTTTAAATATAGGCGAGGATTCGAAATTTTACCATAGAAAGCTGGATTCGCATTACAGAGTCGACAACTGCACGTACCGGATATCGAGCGATATATAGGTAGAGCGGGGGTGTCAAAGCTGCACCAATACCTCGAGCTTTTATCGCTATATGTATACGCATGTACAGAACACCCTTGACATATAGAGTTGAGGCGAAGTGTAAAGAACGACGAATGGAAGAAAGTAAAACGAGAGAGAGAGAGAGTATGGAGGAGAGGTGATGCAACGGAAATCAAACTGATTCGCGTTGGCTAAAGTGAGAGCTTTGAAGCAGTCATGGATTCGGAAAGCTCAGATTTCACCTTTTTTAGTTTACCATCTCACTCTAACACCACTCTGAATTCCACGCTTAGCTATAAAAAAATTTATTTTCATCCTAAGCGTTATTTCTGTTGGCATGATTTCTCGTATTTTTCAGGGTACCCGAAGAGTCGCTCATACCTATCATATACATTTTTTTCAAACTATACCCAGTAACAAGAGGGGAAAAACCCTCTGCATGAAAATTCGTATTTATATATTATTGTGCATTATATACATGACATTTGTGAGTGATTTTTGTTGTGGAAATTTATTTCATATGCATTATTAAGATTAAATTTTGTCTCGTGCACTTTGTGTCAAAACCGTCTAAAATGATATATATCCGAGAGGTAATAGAATTGAGATGTATACAGTTTTATAGTTGTGCAGAATAGCAATACAAATACGAGTGTATAACGAAAACATATTTGAGTTCTCTGAAATGCAAATATTCATATAGTACTATATTTAACCAAACCGTTAGTTTTCATTGAATTTTCAATCTTTTTATGGGTACTTTTTTATAGATTCCATGACCAATCATAAATAGAATTATAATGCAACTTAAATCGCTTCTTATAATTTTATTTAAATGAAGAATACCGACAAATAGGCAATTAGTTAAGGAAGAAAACAGATATTAATCTATGTTGCTATTATGCGTTTGTGATTCAATGATTAAAGAATAGTTCATATTTCTATATAGAAATCTTTTCATTTATGCTTAATGAGTAGATCAGATTAAATAGGAATTATAAATGAACAAAAATTCACACAACTCCGATAACAGCTTAAATTTTTAGATTGATAAAGTAAACTTTTTAGTTGTCTTCAATGAATATTAAACGATTCAAATGTATAAATGTACTTGCGATAGAATACATGAAAAATATTTAAAAATAAAATTTTTTTCATTTTGCTCTCATGAACTCATTTTTTTTAAATTCGGTTGATATTTCGTTCCCATTGCAGTCCCATAATTTTGAATCATTTTACATGTACATGTGAAAATCAGTTCATATTCAATCAGTTCATAAAGTAATGGTCAGGTAAATCCTAGGAATTTATTCAATACCACCAAACCGTGGTAAACTTTTACCATTATGAATGGTATTATTTTGTTGTAATTCAACGTTTCCAATGAAGCATTAAATTTAATCTGAGCCATGATGTGATTTTATCAAAACCATATTCAAAACACTTGATTTTTGATTTATTATTTAAATTTTCAAATGTTGCGTTCACAAAAGTTTACCAACAATTGATTACTGGTTCCATAATTTCTTTTCAGGAATTTCGTAAGATAATATCACAACGAGATGTTGAAGTCGAGAACTGTATAAAACAATTGGCAATTGAAGCCGATAATCAATGCATCGAAAAAGCGCTTCGCAAAAAGGAAGAAGAAGCTATGAAGAATCAAAAACTTGCTGCTACATGGAAATGTCAGCACGAAGAAAAAGTAAAAAAAGAGCAGCTTGAAAACCAAATTATTCGTTCAGAAGGGAGAGGTAAGTTAAATTGAGTTCATTATTGTGTAATTGTAAACTCCTGTGAGATTGAAACACCACCAAAATCATTCGTAAATGCCTGACCAAGGATGATTTATACTACTGAAAAACCGATAAGATTACTCATGATTGATATTACAGGGCTGTGATAGCGTGTACATTAACAGTACAATATCATGTAATTTGTTGCTCAGCTTATGCATAGAACACGAGTATTTATAATAAAGCAAATTACTGCTATACCAAGGCCTGGCGTAAAATCTAACTATAAATATTAAATGTTGAAGCCACAGCGGGTCAATTAGCGTAACATAAATGAGCCAATGGCATACTTATATCACTCATTCCAGCCGCATATATACATCCAATTGCTCATTTATTCCGGGTTAAGTCAGTAATTTTCGAGGTCTGCCACTGTACTACGCATGCACACACATACACACATATATATATATACATACATACACACGCGCGCGCTTTAGATGTGCGGCTAAAGATGCCGTGGGCTAACCGTTTGCTAAACCAACGATGCAGCCGCAAGTATATATACAGAGCCACAAAGAAAGTTATGGCACAATTCACATTGTTCAGTGCACGAACGGTAGTATTTTCATAAAAAAAAAACTAAAACTTTTATGCTCTGCTGATAAAAGTCAGGTGCGCTCAAATGAGGTCAAGTATAAACTTTTACAATTTTGATTAGAAAAATAATGAGGAAAAAGTATCATTTACGAAAATTGTATCGATCGACTGTTGCAATAGATCGATTAAACTTCACTGTTCAAATATTTTGATGCTAAAATTGTATCGACTATCAGTCAATTCACGTATTTCGAGCAATTGCACACATCAACTGTGAATCGTTCACCTCATCGACAACAGTACAGCTGTTCTGTTTCACTTTTGGTTATAAGTTTCTAGTTATGTATTCGATCGATTAATAGAATTGAAAACTCTTTTTTTTAATTTTTTCAGAACTAACCGATGACGATATACGAAGGGAAGAACGTTTGCGTCGTCGTCAGGGAGCCAAGAAATACGGTCTTGAGCTCCGAAGCCAATATGAACAAAGTAAAGTCGAGCGGGAGCGCAAAGAGCGCATCGAACGCGAGCGCGAGGCACTCAGACTGGCTGAACTTGAACGAGAGGAAAATTTTTTCAAAGAAGCTCTGGCAACGAAACTTAATGCCTGCACGTAAATAGGATACTCTTTTACATCAGCCGGAGAAAAAGTGGCATCAAAAAGTTGCGTGATTTCTTCGAAAATTTTTTGTACCCAAGACAATATATTGATTCTGCTTTGGCAATAAAGAATGAACTCACAATTGCGAGCTGGCTCTTTGCGTAAGACTTTAATCGAAAGCAAATTTACAACTAGGCCTATAACAATTACCGGCGTTGAAAAAAACGACAATGTTTTCTCATTTCTTGTACTAAAAGCTTACAGACAAAGTGCAGCATTTTACTCAAGACTCTTAAAACTTGTAAAACTTTTTCTTTACTTTGGAAGAAAAGTAAAAAAAAAAGGAAAATACAAAAGAAACCGGAAAAAGATCAACGAATCTCCCGTGCTTAAAAGTCAAACTCCTCTTTGATACAAAGAGCTCAAGCTTTCGAAGAATACGTAAATCTTACCAACGAGTTTTAATTAAAGCGAAAGAAATAATTATCAGTTCAGTGAACTTTTTCACCCTTCGATCAACAATCAAATTTACCGAGTGCTTGCTTACACACGTAGAGGCTGCGTGGCCTTCAGCATCCACGAGCTCAGGCTTGATTTTTGAATTTTCATTTCAGCGTAAAAATTAATAATTCCGTCAAGCTCCGTATCACACGCACACCGCAGCTTGTGCGTTTCAAAGTTCAACTCTCAACTCGATACAATCAAGGGGCTACAAGCACAACGGCTTGTACATGTGAAATAGCTCGTTTGAGATGGTATAAATAAGTACGATATACATGCGTAGGCGAGAGCGAGCGGCAAGAACCCATGAGCAGCAAGAGAGAGAGAGAGAGAACGAGCGCTAAAACTTGACTGCTAGGGAAGGTAACACGTGGACCACCGACGCGGCATAAGGGGTTGCTCTCGCGTAATTAATTTCGCCTTTCTTGAATATCGACTCCCGCCCTGCTGCCTCCTTCTCCTCCTTCTAGACTATAAACCCACCCTCTTTCCCGTACTGATATTGGGTTTCCTCACTCTCGCTCTTGCGTGCGCGCGCAAAGCAGACTGGCTTGTAAAGCTCCCCCAGCCCCTCGCGCTGAAAGCGGAAACAACGAGAAAGAGAAAGCTGATTGCCCAAGGCGCGCTACGCTCTCTCTCTCTCTCTCTCTCCCCTCTCTCTCCCCCTCTCCCTCTCTTTCTGACGCACGATGCTGTATCGCAGTCTGAGAATAATGTAAAATTAATTTCCTGCCTCCAACTGCGAGTAGCGCGTATCTTTCTCCTCTTCTTATACTTAGCGTTGCTCTCTGCGCTCGGCTCTGTGTGTTTGCGCGCATGTCAGTGAGTTCCGCTTCCACGAGAGCCTTCGTACCCCCGAGACTATTGTTTGATTTTATGAATTAAATGTTTTTTGATGACACGTCTATCCAAGGGCATGCAGGCAAATACGTACGTGTAAGTCTACAATCCGAGCCCCTTTGCCTACTCGCCGCTAAAAGAAAACCAATGAATAGTTTATTTCGGAACAACGAGAGCCATCGATTCGGCTTCATCACTTCTGGTTTAGCGAGGAAAAAATCCTATACGCGCCACTTTGGCTAGAAATAATCGGAGCAGAGGAAAAACGGAAAGTTGTTGCCGCATATTCGCACACGTCGTAATTAAAAGCAATCAATGTGTTTCATTGAATTCTGCATCGCACACCGACGCTCGTGAAACTATATACCTTTTGCTTTGCTCTCGTTGAGTTTTTTTTTTATTTCGTACCCACGAATTTTCATTGAAATCAATTGGATTGGTGAGTATGAGCCAGGAATGGATGGGAAAGAGGGAACGAGAGAGGCAGAGGCTCTCTGAGCCGTCTCTGAGCACACTTTTAACGTGACCGAGTACGCGTTAATCGATTCTTCACACGCGTACGTATGGGAAGTGCGTCTGTGTATGGCTGCACATAAATTCGAATGGCCCTTTAATTTTTTTTTCATTCGATCGACACTTTTCGTTTCGAACAATTGAAACTTTATGAAATTCATGTTTAAGTCTTGAACAATTTTTAATGGAAATTTATTATTATTTTGAAAATTGCAAAAACAATAAGTAAGCTCGACGTTGTGTTGAAGAATCAATGTCACTAGCGTGGAAAAATTTGTGCGACATCAATAGCCAAATATGTAAATGGAGAAGGAGAGTCGAACTTGAGGTGTGTATAGAGGAAAATTGATTCAGCAGTTGGCTAGTCTCGACAGCGCGAAATATCTTTGCAAACTTCCATTCCCGTGCGGCAATTCGATCTTATTTCGTACTGTATAATCGAAATGGAGGAAGTTTCCTCTGCAAGCTCGAGCGGAAAAAAATGCACGTCTGACTTTTTCTCCGCAGGCTCGCGGCACAATCGTTCCTGTGGCGGTCCGCATTGCAATACTACACTGTATTTTGCGCGCGTGCAGATAACCGAACTGCGCGCGGCTCGTCTTCCTTTTGGAGAAGGTTATTCAGTTGCAAGTTGTATGTATATATAGCGGTGGTTACAACGACTTTCCGAGCGAGTAAGACAGTGCGAGCTACGAAGCAAAAGGGAGAGAGAGAGAGAGAGTAAAAGTGAGCGACGCACGCTTGTAGCAGCGGCGGCGGCGGCGGCACAGCTCGAGTTTGTTACTTTGCAACAACTTGAGCTTTCGAGTTGGCGCGTGGGTCTGATTTGCATTGTAAGTGATACTTCTGCGATACTGCGTGTATATCTATGTTTCGCGAGAAATTCACCTCCACCCTCTAATCTAACATGACACTTCGCGGTCTCCCCGCAGCCTCTTCGTTGCCGCTGCTGCTGTATGCTGTTGAAACTACTACTGCTGCTGCTGCTACTGCTGCCACTGCTGCTATTGCTGTCTTCTAACGGACTCGTTAATGAATCCGATTAATGAATTTTCCTCCCCGTGTTCGAGTTCTTGTTCGAGTTCTTGTTCACTCGATTTTCTGAAAGCTTATGTTTTATGCATCTTATGCATGCTTGTACGCATATGTACCTATTGTGAACAATTACAAATACATTCTTGTTTTGCCTTATCATATATAACTTATCTCATTTCCAATAATCATCATAAGTATAAATATACGTTACGAATTCTGTCATATCAAATTTACGCAAAATGTGGAAAAGTTACGAACAGAATTATGCAATAAAAGTTGCTATTAATCAAAATTGAACAAAAATAAAAAAATAAACACCCAAAAAGTGAAAAATGTTTTATTATTTATTAGTACAGATAGAGATATAAAAGTCAACAATTTTACCAGTCACCAAATTTTCCTTAGATTTACACGTAAATCACTGGATTATTTAAAAAATGTTTCATGGGAATTTGATGTACACACTAGAGCTTCAGATTTTCATTTTCGAAGTTAGTTAAAAAGTAATCGATCATGTTGGAATTTAAAAACAATTCCATTTAATATATCAATCAAAGTAAATGGAAAAAAAATATTCGCATCAAGTTGAAAGTTGAGGAAAATGTCCAAACTGTCCCTTTAACAATTTAAAGTTAAAAGGAGTCACGTGGGGTCACGCGTATAAGGGCAGCATCAACATAGTCAGCTTGCTTCTGGCCTACATATAATTTACAGTGAGCTATATGCCGGGTTATATACAGCGCTACCTCCATTCAAAGCGAGCCATGCGTAACTCTTGCTTTATTCGTTTATTTGGTCATAAAAAAAGCTGCGCACTGCGCTGGAATTGCAATTTTGTTTTCTCATCGAAAGTCTCTTAAATCACGAATGTTGCGCAACTCGTAAAAGCCAGTTTGCTATATGAGCAATTCTCGGACGCGTTTATAATGTATACATGATATCGAGTGGCGCGCGCTCGTTCCAAATTATAAGTACAAATATTGATTGAAAAAGCTGGGAAACGAGCCGATTGAGATGAATTTTGTCTAATTTTCAGTTGGCGCGAGCGGCAAAACTGCGTCATCGAGCGTGAAATTAGCGGTGTTTATGTGCGACGAGGGCTCGAGGTCCGCATAGCGAATTGTAAACAGCAAAACTATACGCTCGCGCCGGCAAAAGTGAAATTGTACATAAAAGCTTTATCATCGAGCGTAGCCAATGGTGCGGTAAAATTCAAATTGCATGATTTATAAGAGCGTACGTAAGTTTGCTTACACTGGCCGTATCTATTGGCCATATTGAGCGGGCAAGTGCAGGTTACATATATTTATATACGTATGCGCGCGAGCGATCGAGTTTCGGGGGTTAGATAACGCACGGTGGACTGCAGGAAAACGGCCTGAGCGAATAATACAGCCTGTACTGTACTGCGGTGCACTCGACTCTGCAGTCGTGGGTGCGCGTATAGCATTACTGTATACGAGCCACGTTCGCGCCATAGACTATAATTTCGTCAGGTTTACGCAGGCGTATGATAATACGCAGATGCGCGAAGCGACGAGTCAAAAAATAAATTTATTCGTCAGGGGCCATAGTAGCGTCGACGTGGCTGAAAACAGCCCGCGAATACGTACAAATTATGACTCCGCTATACAACCCATCACGCTCTCTCACTCTTCCTCCGAGCTGCTGCGCTGACAAGCTGCCAAATGCGCCGAGTGCACCGATGCGTTTTGCGTTATATTTATTCGTTTGTGGTTGACTACGATTATAATTGGGAATGGGATGCGCTACTGGTTGTTTATGTAATATACACCAACAGGTACAGACGTGTAAAACATGCGTATGCGCACAACTCCTCTACTAGGCTTTGTTTAAATTGCCATTTCATAATATATGCTAACAGACGGCCTTTTTATTTAGTAATGGCCCTTTGTATGAAGCAGAAGTGTTATTTTGCAAATAATTGCAAAACGAGTATCGGTACGAAGTTAAAGCTCTTTCGACTTACAAGCACATCTTTATAAATTGTCCGATAATTACATTTACGTTTGAAGGTTATTTTAATCGTTCGTACATTGAGCCCGTAATACATGAAATATCCTTTACATTTCACGCCTAGCGTGGAAATTCCGAGTACATAGATGCACTTTGATAGCGGCTTCG